TCCCCGTACCTGCAAACCACCCTAATACGAGCCGAGGGTTCAAGGGCTGCCAGATCGCCTATAAGCACCATCCTTAGGGTTGGCCGGATGTTTAGATTTAGAAAATAATTTAGATGCCATCTAATTAGATTTCTATATAGATTTTAGATGAGGCCATCTAAACCGTTTAGGTGGGCATCTAAACGTATCTAGTCCATCTAATGCCTATCTAAAGGCCGGTGACCGGATCCAGACCGTTTAAACGTGAGTCATGGCACGCGAAACAGCTATGTTGAAGGTAAGTTTAGTGTCATATCCTTGCTCCGCTCTATTACATACACAAATAGACGTAAAAATACACAATGGCAGAACCAGGACCCCAAAAGCCGATCACATACAAATACAACCACCAGACTTTCGACGCGCCACAGTACGCAGCTAAGCTCTGCGAAGCCAAGCGCAGCATCAAAGCCGCAGCGTACTGGTCCATCTTCGACGTGTTGCTCGTAAAAGGCGTTGTGAACCTCGTCTGCACCGTTTGCAACAAGTCCTATAGCGCGAAGAACCCGTCAGCTGTCTGCCCGGATCACTATGCGAAGCACCAGAAGGACGTCGCCAGCGCGGTCGGAAGCGAGCAGTCCGGGGCGCCCACAACCAACAGCACGAAGCGCTCGCGCGCGGAGGAGGGGCCAGTTCGGACCTTCTTCCTCGCTGCAGTGCAAATCGCCACCTTCCTGAAGCACCTGGCTCTTTTCTTCTTCAAGTGCAACATCGCCCTCCAACTGATCGAGCACCCCGACCTCGTGAAGGCTGATGAAGGCTGAATGAGGGCTGTTGTCGTCTAATGCCGTGATGTTTCTGTCGTTTGCGTGGTGCGGCCGGTGGGCAAGGACAACTGACTGCGTGACGGGTGTGTGGAGGTGAAATCCCGTTGTCGCCAGTCGAACAGGCCGGCAGAACAGAGCCCGACAGCTTTGCATCCCAATGCGGGCGTGTCCCGCATGTTGGCATGTGTACTTTGGTGGTTCCGTTTGCGGTTGGGCCGACGGTTGGGCCGCGGGGCGCCTAATTACACCCCGTGGCGCCATCCGACACGCGTCTGTAGAGCGCCCATAGGGGTTCGCCGTGTTCCCAGTGTCGAGCGGCCCAAAAAATTATTGGAAAATCCAGGAAAAGATAAAGCCGCATCGTGTGCAAAATTTCAGGTCAAAATTCCACCGTTTAGGCAGTTTTCCATTTGGCCATCTAAAGATTTACCTAATTAGATTAGGAATCTAATTAGATTTCTAATTAGATACTTTTTCCATCTAAAGATTTTGCCAACCCTAACCATCCTACCTCGCACTTCAAACGAAACTAAGGGATGAAGGATACCAACGACCAAAGGGAACGATAGAGTTGCGGTGGGACCATATGCGTTCCAGCATCCTTGCCAGGCGTTCAGGTTCCCACTTCATAGCATCCTTCATGTGGCCGAAGTGTGGGAAATCCATATCAGATCTGATTTTGTCGTACACCGGACAGTCCAGCAAAATGTGCTCCTCATCCTCGATATGGCTATCAGTGCCGCAGCAGGGGCATACTCGCTCCTCCCTAGGTATATAACGCCGTCCCTTACACGCTCTGTTAGCCGCCAATGTCCAACAGCAAAGCCTAAACTGCATAAGCTTGCGGTTCGCTGAACGCGGGATAAACATTGTGATATGCGGGAGCACCTCCTTCTTGCCCGCTTGCTCGGCCGCCAGACCCATCCAATACTTCGCCATGTGAATTCCTGGTTGCTTGCCGTCTGACGGGTACACGTCAGGCTGGACATCTAAACGCGTATGCTTCCAACCGCTCACTAATTGGTCCTTGAACTCCAAAACCACACCTTCTGGCATTGGCCTGTTCATCAGCCACTCAACTCGTTCGCCTACCTCGTGTAGCCCTTGCGGGGCCTCTTTCCAGTACGTCGTGCCCCAGAAACCTTAGGAAACGGAGGAGTAGTGCCCTCCATCCGGCTCCTTCGGGGTTGTAGAGGGACCATTTGACCTCCTGTCGCAAAACTTGGTGTGCCACAGACCCACGCTGTAAACGGACACGGTTCCAAAACCTCACAACCTGCTTGAAAACGTGGTAATGTAGGGGTAGCTGCGACAGCTCTGCAAACAGGAGGCGGTGTGTTGGTCTGGCAGCTTCTACAATTTGCCGCATGAAAGATATCTGAAGCTGCACCGCTCTGTCCTTTAGGCATGCCTCGAAGGGCCCCTCCGCAAAGTTACTCGCATCACTGTGGGGTGAACCATGTAACACACACACACACACACACACGCACACACACACAAGAGACTACACTTACCAATGGAAAGGCCCTCACAGCACTTTGTCAGACCAATCGAACGGATCTGTTACTTCCTGCAGCAGCACGGGGAACTTGGTGGGGAGCTTTTTGTGCTCCAGTGGTCTCCAGTGGTCTGTGGAAACCCAGTTTTCTCCTACCCAGCTTTGACACTACTCTTACACAGGTTGCCACCACCCCCCAGCACAAAGGACCCATTCCTGATGAGCGCAGTAGTGCAGATGACACATCGGTTCTACACTACTGCTTCATCTCTTGCTGACATGTTTTTTCATTGGGATGGATACACAAAAGCAACAGACCCCTTGTGCCGCCTTCAGGCTGACAAACGGCTACTCAGAAACTACAATTCAATGACAGCTTTTTGTGCTCAGTAGCAGAGACACACACACACACACACACTCTTCTACGAAAGATTCTTTTCCTTTAGTAGCTGGCCGCTGAAAAGGCCTCTCGAGATGCTGGTGGAGCGCTTAGCGTGTATTTGTAGACGTTATGTGTGCCGTACAGTGCACCAGCTGCTGCAGCTATAGGTGATGCACCTATGTGGGAGAGGAGCTACGTAGCTACCCTCCCACGATGGAGGTACATCGTACGCTTACCTCGCGGGCATGGCTTATGTTCACGCGTGCAACTTATATACACGCGTACGCTTATGTACATTTGAAAGGTATATCATGTACCGAAATGTCCCAGGCCACACCCTGGCGGTCGCGCTTAGCGTGTATTTGTATAGCTGTACTGTGCACCAGCTGCCACATTTCCACTGCCTAATTAGGAAAACGATCTACTAGGGAGGATTTGGCCCTTAACTTGTGTTTGGATAGGCTTACAGCATCCAGCATGCCCGGCCAACCATCAGTGGGCACCATGCTCAGGAGGATCAGGCCCACAAGTTTCAATCCAGTTTCAACCTATGTTGGCACAACCATGATGATACCATCGGCAACATTGCAGTCCCAATCTTGGTTCAAACATAACAACTTGCCAGCAACATCACCAGTACCAGCACATTAAACACAACTTCGCCCCACAGCAGCTCTCCAGGCAAGCTCCCCTTCCAAGTCAGCACAAAGGGCGCAGGTGGCCCACAAAGGGCACCACATGGTGTACGATTGTTAGACACGATGAAGAACAAGCATGTTTGGTTGGCGACTGGCAGCAACAGCAACAGAAACAGCAGCAACAGCACAGCACAACGCAGCAAAATAAACTAGGAAAGTCAGCAAAGCCAAATCAGCACTGCCAGGCGCCAACCAAACCTGACTGTCGTACTTTGTGTGTCATGCATCTGTGTAACTTGAACACTCATTTCCCCCTAGCTTACTAAGCATTTCCCCCTCACCCTTCCGCCCGCCGTCTGCTGCTTCTGCCCTTCACCCGGAACTGTCTGTCAGTACATCGCATCATCCAGGACAGGCTGGTGGCGAGGTGGTGGCAATCTGGACCACTTTCTGATGATGTGCTGAAGAAGTAAGCGGCGAGTGCCATGGAGCACTTGGTTAACGTTGCTGCTTTCACGGTTTGAGTCTGCGATTTGTTTCCAACTGCTTCTTTCTCCTTTCCGATGGTGGAAGGCATTGCGCCCCTAGTTGATGGACGGTGGTGACCTGGGATAAAGTTAACCTGCGAGCCGACCAGGAATGGAGTTGGGCCGCTGTCGACCCGGCAGATTCCGTTGGATGCTGGTGGTGGGTTGTTGACTAGGGTGACTGGATGAGTTGACTAGGGTGACTGGATGAGGGTGCCCCGAAATACCCGCGGGGAAGGCAGAGGGTCTGCTGGTTAGGAGCCGCAGGGTGAAGATATGACCCCCCTGTTTCACACATCATACAGCACCATCCACCATTTTACCACACTGTACTACGCCATACGAACTGTAAGTCCAAGGCGGCTGATCCTACATGCTAGGATTCCTCGTCATCCAGTCACCCGAACATCCGCAGAGACAGAGGAGTTTAGCAATCGCCACCAAACCAGCGTGCGAATCTCGGTCCATCAACTGCGATCCCACCTTCTCAGCAACTAGCCAAATTCTCACGTTCCCAGCGTCGGGGGCTTACCTAGGAATCGAACTAAGGATTTTAGGCCGCATATTGCAATTGCAATAATGTCACAAGACCAGGCCGCGCCTTGTGTTGTGGCGGCTAAGCGGCTAGTCTACTTTGCTTTATTTCCGCCGGTGACCGTTTGTCTCTTCTGCAGTGTAATGGCCATGGGCAGCTGCCGGTCCCCGTCCCCCTCCTCGGCACGCCATTAAATCGCTTCGTGGAGTTGTCCGCTTCAACCGCATTTGACACGCGGTTGTCACGCCAAGCATGTACATACTTACATACGGGGCTTTTTTGTTTAATTTACGTATTCGTTTTGCCAATCTTACAAGTAATAAGATACAACCGATCACATGCGGGGTCGATTGGTGGCAAAGAAATATGGCAGTTCTTGATACGTCAGATAGGCAGGCACCAAAATACATGTCTTTTCCACTGAAACTGATCTGTGACCACCGTTCCATGGCAAGGTTCACCCAGTACAAATATCATTCCGGGATGGTCCGTACATGAAATAACTTGTAAGGGGCTTTCTGTTACAAATTAAAGCTTTTAATCGCAGATCCACAGAATAAGGTGACGCGGCGCCCCGTCCTGGAAGCTCTGCATGGGATCGCATCCAGGATATGTTAGCTTAGTTTAATAGTAAAATGTTCTCAAGAGGAAATTGAGCAGGGGAACAACCACTGCGCTTGGAAAGGCGGTTCGGTTGACACTGCCACGAAACTCGTCGTACAGTGTTGTACATAAGAGTTTAGTTCCAAATCAAGTGCCAATAACACAAGACGAAACTAACTTGGGCCCCGTGAAATGCGGCGCGTTTGATGATACAGCTTATCTGCCTTGCGACTGCAATTCAAGCACTGTAAGGGCGAGTAAATGGCCAAGCGCCCTCGGAAACGTGAACGACCTGCAAGCTTGCATGATCAAAGGAATGTCTACACTTTTGAAATTTCCTGGTAGACGCAGTGAAACTTGCACATACATAACTGAACACACCGTGCAATCTCTCACGCAACGTCTGGCGTTTTAAAACGTTGATGATCAAGGACAATTTTCTTACTTGTTACTATGCTTAAAAGGCAGTAGGCCTGCTTCAGCTCATGGGACTTCTGTGTTGCTTCATTGGAGATATCGCGGAACCGCCTCAGCATGTACAAGCACATGAACAGGACTCTCGCCTGGAGGTTACTCCTGCGGCGACTTCTATTTCGGCTGGGCGTGGGACTCCAGTGGCGCCGTTGCCTTCGCACCTGCCAAGCCTTAGCACCATTACGAATGGAGGAAATGAATGCCTTGATGACGACAAACGCAGCAGCCCTGCAACGTCGCGGAATTTACTTAAGCTGCCTTCCGGCGCGCCTCGGGTTAGTTAAGGCACAAGCTCACCGAGCGTTCAGTACAGCTAAACGATTTTTTGGCTGTGTTTGTTGAATAGGATTGAATTGATTTTCCCATATGGGTTCATATCATCGCGTTTTTTGGCGACATCTCAGGGACCCCCCAGCCGCTTCGCGACGCGCTCGACCTCTTTTTCACCTAGTCCTTATGCACTTTCTCCCATCTGCAAAAGCGCGTAGTATTTAAAGATGCGCACTGCTCGCCCACCCTAGACACCCAATTACGCACCATCTTGGACCATGGACCATCTTGGACCTCCAAGCGGCGACTCTCACCACCATCTCCACCACCATCACCTCCGTCGCTGGCCCCCCTTGGCCCATTCAAACCCTTCCCCACACCTCCACTTTGAGGCCTCGCACCCACTTCCCGCGCTCCAACCCCCAGCTCCGTAACCACTCCCAGCTTATGGGCCCCGATTCCCCGTCCCCCCTCTTTACCCTAATAACCCCTACCCCCTCTCCGAGCTCTCTCCACGCCGGCCGTCGGCGGCTTTTAATCTCGTTTTATTGTAAATTATTCAATTCCCTTTCACCCCCTCTATACATTTCCCCCAATCCCTCCACACACACCCCACCACCACCACACACACACACACACACACAAACACGCACACACATCTACAGCCTTGTATACACATATCCCCACGTTTGCCCCAAGTTTTCTGAAACAATCGCGCGGTTTGCCGTTGCCGTAGTCTTACCGCGCCTCTCACCACATGCCTTGCATTTGCCTTTCCCTCCCCCCAAATACATGACCAGTTTTTGAACCACTTTTATAACCACTTTTATATATGCAGTTTTCGGAGCTATATGCCCGGTTGAGCCACATTCGCGGCAGTTGGCACTCCAGGGGGGTGGCCGCTATGCGAGTGCTGGCCGAGCAACTGGGCTTGCAGATTGCAACGTGGGTGGTAGTAACCGGGGCGGCCGGAGGTTTAGGGATCGAGTCCTGCGCGGCGCGATTGAAGGTTGCGGAATATAGCTTAGGGTTAGGGTACAACTTGAAGTTTGAATTTCTGAGAGGAACAATATAAATGTTTATCTTTTAAGCCGCAAGGATGGGAGGGGGAGGGAGAGGGCGGCTATCAAGTTTTAGGGTTAGGGAGAGCGGGGGGTGCGGGAGAACGGGAGGGAGCCAGG